TTAGATGCCACAAACAAGACTTAAACCCCACTGTGTGGCAAGTCTCTGCCTGTCCCTCCTCTCTGACCCCTGTGGGTGGGTGGCTCACCCAGGAGCTGCTGAATTCAGGTGCCTGTGGTGCTGGGGAGTGGGTTATGGCTGCCTAGTTCAGAACCCAAGGACCCTTCCCTTCCCCCCCAGCCTGTTTTGCAAGGAGCAGTCTCTCCACAGGCCACCAAGTCTGCCCCAGTGAGGCGGTGACCCGAGCCTAGCGTGACCCCTTAGCTCCCCTTGCGCTGCAGCACCATCCTGGGCTCTCAGCCTTGGAGAGGCTTCTGGAGCAAGCTTGGCGCGTCATCTTGTAGGGCAGATAGGGGATTTCCCTGAGCGTGAGGCCATGAGGCCAGCCCTTGACACCTCTGGGCGAGGGGGCTGAGGTGTGGCATGGCGCAGACCACAGCTCCCTGGGAGTTTTAGTCTCCACACAGTGCTCAGCCACAGCTTTCTCCAGGGAAGGGGCATGTGGGCACGCTGCCTCTGGTGGCTGCTGCTGCTGGCCAAGGATGCTCAGGGCAGCAGGATGGACTTGCTTCCTCTCCGTCTCCACCAGGGTCCAGAAGCCTGGTGGTCTGGGCTGGGGGAGAGGGAATGTGGGTGAGTTGGTGATAGGTGCAAAGAGCCTTGCCCCAGAAGCCAGAAGAAAGTTAATTTGCTATTCACTGCGGACCCTTGATCAACCAAGCCACTCACTGTTCCAGGCCTCAGTTTCTTCAGTGGCCCAGGGGGAGCGATGGCCACTGTCTTGCCTCCCCCACAAGGTCGGGCCGTTGGGCGAGGGGAAGGTCTAGGAGGGGCAGGGCAGGCTGGTGGAGAGGCTGGACATATAAGTGGCGTGTAAGAGATGTAAATGGCCCTGCCTGCCCACCGTTGGGACAGAGAGGATGTGGATGCCGAAATTGTCATTTGTGGGCACGGTACTCATGGACGTGGCTGCCTTTTCAGGTGTTAAGGAAGTTGACGATGAGGTGTGTTTGTGAACGTGGGGGTGTGAGAATGTGCAGATCCATGTGTGTGTATGTGAGTGGCTTGTGAATGTGCATATGTGGGTGTGTCCCATGCACAAACACATTCAGTGATTGAAAATCCACAGTGGGCTGAGCACAGGGACAGGTGGTAAAAAGGAAACACAAGACAGAGGCGAGCTCTTCCCTCAAGGAATTTTTAGTCTCATGGTGGAAGTAGGGCCCATGCAAGTGAAAGATGACTAATAAAAAAGAGATAAAAGCAACAGAATGTGATGTAAGTGTGTGAAGAGAGAGATGCAGGCAGGAGAGGGCAGGGAGCGGGGACTGGGGGAAGACAGCCCTGTGGGGTGATTCTAAAAAGCATCATGGAGGCGGTCAGCAGGACTGGCGTTCTGAAGTTGAGTGAGATGCTCCAGGTATAGGGGAAGGGGGAAATGGTATGCCCAGATTGGCAGGCAGAGGCAAATCAGTTGTTGGGTGAGAGTGGTGGGCAGGCTGACGTAAATAAAAAAGCAGGAGTTGCTGGGCATTCTGGCAGTCTGTGTTATGGAAGGGCGCACCATGCGAGGTGCGAACGAGCACCGCGTGTGCGGCCCCTCTTCAGACGTGTCCCCTCAACGCCTTCAGTTGGTTCCTCTAGAATGTAGGAGTCTAGATGCCGCATCCAAGGCTGCTGTGAGGAAGATGCGTAGAGAGTTTGGATGTCAAGATCTCCCACTGGCTGACCCCATGTATATTTCCTGGGGTCACAGAACAAAGAGGAACCCCAGAAAGGGTGTCAGCCCTGGCTCTGAGCAAATCCCCCCTGTCCCCCAATCGTCATACAAGCTCAACTAGAATAATCTCATGCTCGCTTCTCATCCTAAACCCGTCATTCACACCTAAGTCCCAGGGAGAGAAGTGATCGCAAAAGACTGGGTCAAGTTAACTGTCCTCTATGGATATGCCCCTCTACCTGGCTCCTGCATACTGACCTTTCTCCTCCAGTCTCTGGAAGCTGCTCCTCCCCGTTCATCCAGGGGCACAAGTGGCTGGTTACACCACCAGGACTCCCCCCTCCCTCCGTGATATCTTCCCATGGAAAGAAAACTAGACCAAAGTAAGTCCAGAGCCTGTGTTCACGGGCAGGGCTCCATGCCCTGGCCTTTTGAGGGCTGGCCCTTCCCCGGGCTCCGTGAGGCTCCTAGGCACTGTGCAGGTGCTTCAGAGAGCGCCAGGCCTTTGGAGTTCTGACATTGTGCAAGGGCCACTTCTGCTTTTGCAGTCACCTCTGGGTTCATCCACGCCACACACCTCCATGCCTTCCGTCCTCTTGCTCTGGTCGGTTCTGCCCACCACTCCAGCTTAGTCACCTCTAAAGAGTGGCTTTCGTGTGTTATTTCTCCTGTGGGTGCTATCTAACGGCTCTCCATGGTACCCGCCAAAGTCATACCTCTGCCGGGCCTTCCAGAACCTCCACAACCTTCTTCTTTTCTCCCTTCATCACCCTCACTGCCCCCTCACAAGGGGTGCTCCTTCTCACTATTTTTTAAATCTTTGCATCTGTGGTTTCCTAGCCCAGGGCTTCCTCTCTCCTTCACTCAAGGATTCAGACCTCGTCCTTCTCCAGGGCCCAGCCCACGCCCCACCTCCTTCATGTGGCCTCAAGGCCATGTAGATTTGTAGGTGGTCCAGCTCCACCCCCTCTTTGTCTAGATGAGGAAACTGAGGCTCAGACAGGTTAGTTGATTTGCCCAAAAGTCAAATCACTAGCTAGACACTGGAAATCCAGATTTCCTCACCCTGCGGTAAATACTTTGCACTCTTCCTGGCTGAAGAGGGTGTGTTGTTCTAGAAAGAAGGGGATACTAAGAAGGGACGAGACTATCCATAAGTCCACATGATCTCGATGTCCAACTGTCTTCACAGCGAGAAACACTCAATTAAGTGCTTACTTTTAAGATGCTCTGCCTTGTTATTTAAGTGTTTCCACAATAGAGTGTAAGCCCTTTGAGGGCAGGGAACATTCCCTGGGCCATGGATCAGGTCCTCTCCAAAGCCCCTAGCACAGAGCTAGGCATGGGGAAGGTGTCACGTGGTGGGACCGGTACCCTGCCTGGAGCTCTCTTCTGGGAGGATCATTTCCCACCCCCCGCCCCGCCCCCGTCCATTTCTGGTGGCAAACAAAAGAACAGCGTGGAAACCAAAGGGACTCTGCCCAGATGCAAGTCCAGTCTCTAAGTGTTCACGTAGATGGAAGGTAGGTGGTGGGGTGGTGCACAACACACTGTGGTTTTGGCAAAGATCCAAAGGGACTAATAATGGGTTTCAGGTCCAATAGGTTTCCAACATCCTTGCCTGCTACCAATATCATAGGAAGCACACATAGGCCACTGTGTTTTCTGGAGGATGAGCAGGGATCACACCTGAGGGCCCCAGCCATGGCAGGGGTGGGAAGTGTCTTTGGTGCACATGCCTCATTTCCTCCCTTGCCCCTTTCACTGCTCCTCCTGGTGCCTAAGGCTCCCTCCTTCCCCCAGTTCCCGCCCTCGGAAAGCACTTGATCCTGCAGGAGGCTCCTTCAAGGGACTGTCTGAGCATTATCCCACCAGGGCGCAGGCATTGTGACCTGCTGTCTCAGGTGGGACTCAGAGGCACTGTCTTACTTTATGAGACTCCCATGTGCGGGGGTACATGGTAGGCTGAGGTGCTAGTTCCCAGCCCCCAGAAATCACAGTGCCTGCACTGGTGGAAGGGGCTTCATGGTGTCTTAGGTGGGATGGGGACTCAGGCAACTGGAGAAATTGATCTTGGCCTGGGCAAGATATATTTTTCTTTTCCTTCTCTCTTTGTGTCCAAACTTGAAAGTGTGTCTTTGGCAAAGCGGTTTAAACAGATTTACAGATTGGCAAGGTGCTGAGGGCACCTGAGGAGGGTCCATCAGTGGAAAGGTCGCACCAACTCTGCTTCCAGCGTGGCCTAGAGCCTTCTGTGATTGGTGACCCCTGCTCAGCCCATCTGAAGGCCTCCATCGCTCAACCCGTGCCTTTCTGGGCTCCATGCTCCTCTCCTCTGGGGCCTCGGGCAGCAGGCTGATAACAATACCTTCACTGGCTTCCCAGTGGGTGGAGGTTGATCAGGGCCACTGGGTGAGAGGAAATGGCTGATGACACTTACCCACCTACTCACCCTCCTGCCAGCCTGGGGAATGTGCTTTTTGCACTCTCCAGTTGGCATTTGTGTGTTCCACATTATCTTCCCTTCCCTAAAATGGGGCAGGTGACAGAGTGCACAGGGGTTACTTTATTTCACATTTTCCTGAAGAGAAATCTAAGGCTCAGAGAGGGGGGCGTGGCTCACACAGGGTCAGGTGAGTCACCTATGGCATTGCAGTGGCCAGGTGTCTATGGCTTTTCCCGCTCCCCAGCTCGGGTTGGGGGGAGGACTGAGGTCAAGCAGGCTGGGTTAACCATTAGGGAGCTATGGGGAGTGGGTCTCCTCCAGAATGCCAGGAGGGTTGCTCAGAGAAGCTAGTTGAGGGGGCATGGCTGGGGAAGTCTTTGCCCCACCACTGAGATGGCACCGGGCAGACGTCAATTAACGACCAATGAAGACAGACCAGCAGGGTGGCATTCCAGGGCCCTCTTGCCCAGATCAGACTCAATTATAGGGTACAATTACCTGCAGAGGTGCTGTAAGGTAGCTGTCTGCACATGCCATTCAAAGCTGCTGGGGGAGATGCTTCTCTCCCTGGCTCCAGTTACTCCTTTTGGAACCCACCCTCCCAACTAAAGCCACCATCTTGGTCCATGGGACTTACTTCTTGGGAGAGACCACATCTGAGGCCAACATGTCCTTTAGGACACTCATTCTAGTTTATTCCCAAGAAACACCACCCTTTGACCCCAGCCTCCAAGGCTCATGGGTAGGGGTCAAGGTCCCAACTTCGCCATTAATGCATGAAGCATCCACTTCCACCCTAGAATTCACTCGGGTGGAAGGATGGGAAGGCCTTACCTCTGGTTTTGTTTTCTTTGGGAAGGAGAGAGATGGTCTTTTCTTCCTGAAGATAGATGAAGAACTGGTAGCGATGGAAGCCACTTTGTGCTGGTGGGGAGGGAGGCTGGTAGGCTATGGGTAGAAAAAGGAGAGAGGTGGGCTCCACATCCTACAGTACCCAGGAGCTCCTGGCTGCTCTGGGCAGGAGGAAAAGAGAATCATTCATGCCTTTCATGGTACCCGCTGATCCCCCTGGGGTCCCAGCTGGGAGCTCACCCATTGCAAGCCATTAGGATTGATCTTTGGCTGGATCTCACCTTCAGCAGCTTCATTTAAGAAGCACACTATTTTGGGTGGTGGGGGGAAGAGGAGGGGCAGACTGGTTGAAGGTCTTGGGTGCTGGCGGGTCTCCTGGCCTTTCTGGGCCAGTGGGGGTTGGTGTTGCCCTCTTTTTGCTTTAGTCTTTCCTCATGGATTTCCTGCCTTACAAGAAACCCGTCTTCCTCTGTGAGTGTGTTTGGCAGCGGACTTTTATTTATTTTTTCAGCATTTCCTTATGAACTCAATCCCCAAAGAAACCAATTTCTTGGCTGGATCCGGAGGATCTGGAAGTGGTTATAGGGGTGGGTGGGACTCGGTTCAAAGGTTTGATCATGGAAGCTGTAGGATCTGGGTGCTCGGGGCACTGGGAGCCCACTCAGGCTCTTCCGGAGGAGAAGGCCCATCTCCTTCCCTTTCACTCTTGGTGCAGGAGGCAAATCTTTTCTGGGGGAAACATGGGGTGAAGATATCGCTCATCCTTCCTCCGAGTCTATGCGGGCCCCTGGGCCGTTCCAGCTGGGCCTCCTTCCAAGAGTGCTGTGCCTCTTCCTCCTCCCCTTTGCTCTCTTCATCTCCCCTTCCAAGGAGCCAAGAATCTTCCGGGGATGGGCGGGACGGAGTGTTTGCAGTGAGGATGCTGGTGAAAAGGAGTACTGGTCCTTTATGGCCATCTCCTTCTCCTGATCATTAGACAAGAGCCACTTGCTATTTGGAGCTGTTGGAAGTGTTCCTTATGGTGTGCTTCCGGCTACTGGGGCCTCCAGTGTGCTCACAGCCAGGGGAATTCCTGACTATTCATCTCTCCTGGAGTTTTTGGATTGCAGATCAGGTGTGTGTGTGCATGCTTGCTCAGAGTGAGAACAGTGCAGGGTGTGCCAGGAGACGTGTGAGTTTGTGTGACTTGGGGTCTACATTGGGGAAGGTGTAGGTGTTGGAAGAGCCAGTAGCGTGTGTTCTGAGGCAGTTTTGGAGGGTTTCTGTTGGTGTGTGTGTAAATGCGGGTAAGTCAGTGTTTTTTCACAAATGCCAATGCTGAGAAAGACTTCTGAGCATAGGTGGGTTTCGGAGTGTCTCTTTATGCACTGTGTGTGGAGGGCAGATGTGGCCAGGCCAGCTTTCAGCAAGGCTGGTGGGTGCGAGGGTTGCCGAGCGCACTTGAGGGTGGGCATGTTCCACGTTGCCAAAGACTGGTGACCATGATTCTGTGTGGATAAGGCTGAATTTGGGACTCACTGGTTCTATGCAACTGGGAACTTATCCACATGGGAGATGGAGACTGAATCCCTTTCACTAGGAAGATTTCCTGAAGAATCGCCCTCCAAAAGTAGAGATGAGAGGCATGAGGAGGCAGGGAAGGGGTACACACATGTCGAGCCACTTCTCTGGGCCAGGCCTAGCTGAGTGCTTTCCTTTCTGACATCACCTTAATCCTCACACGACTTGAGTAAGGGGATATTATTGCCATTTCCTGGATGAGGAAACTGAGGCTCTGAGAGGTTGAATCAGGCCGATAGTAAGTGGTGGAGCTGGGATTTGAATCCAGGCCTATCTGGTGCCCGAGCCTGTGTTGCTTCACAGAACTATGAGGCCTGGTTGGTCTTTTTGCTCAGCCCTTTGCCAGAGGCCAGCTCACCACCAGACCATTCCCTTCAAGTTGCGTGGAGGGGATGCTCAGATCAGGGGATCTGAGAGGGAGGGGAGGAGGGGAGCTGGTGGTGAGGATGGGGGTAGAAAGAGGAGGGCATCAGAGAACAATGAGGTCTATGCAGCCACATGCAACCACATTGTGGGCTGGGGACGGGGGAAAGGAGGGAGAAGGGCAGAGGGAAGGGAGTGACCCCACCAATCCTCGCCAGGAGAACGGTCTGGTCAGATCCATGCATTTTGATGCTGGCTCCATCCCTTACTAGTTGTGTGACATGGGGCAGGTGGGGCCGTGCCTCAGTTTCATTCTCTTTAAAATGGAGGTATTGATGGCAGCGACTTAAAAGGCAGTTGTGAAGATTAAATCTGAGTGTGCGAGTAAACTTTTGCACACTGTGAAGCACCCACATCAAGCTGTGTTACTATGATTTTGGGATCATCATCGTCGCCCTGGCTGGGGCAGGAGCGCTGGAGGGGCTTACTCACCTGTTAGCTCCTGGCCCTGAATCTTCCCTTTCTTTAGGTCAATGCCCTGAAATAAGAGACAGGCATGGGTGTGGGTTACTTGTAGGGCAGCAGAGGCCACACCGTCATGTTTCAGTCTGAGTGGGTTCTGCTAAGTTCTTTCTCTCTCTGAGGGAGTAGGATGGAAGAGGAGGAGGATGTATGGGAGATGTTGCCAGAACAGGCTGTGCCTCAGGGGATCCGGGGAGAGATGACAGACACAGACATTGCTGAGGGTGGCCTGCTGGCGAGGGATGGAGCCCCTGACCTCTGGAGAGGGAGAGGACACTTCCCAATGGGCTGCCCCACTCTCACCATCTCCACCCCCCGACTGGGCACAGGACACAACTCTCAGCCTGCCGGGACTGGTCAGATATAAGGCAGCAGCTGACAACCCTCAGAGGCTTGCTAAGCCAGCACATCTTCTTGGGCTTTCTTTGGGGCCTTCAGAATATTAGCCAATGGCTGTCTGAGCAACCAGAAGGGCAAGCAACGGCAGGAGGAGGCCGGACTACCTGGTTCTGAGGCAGCTTGTTCCCTAGACTCGATGGGACTCAGCCCACAACAAGCAGCAGAGTCTTTGGCCACTGGGACAGCCTCGGTCTCCCACCTTCTCTTCCTTCTCCTCCCTTTTCCCCTCTGCTCAGTGTCTGTGGGATAATGAGGCCATCCTGGGGGTGGGTGCTAATTATTGTTTGTGCAGGACTGGGAGATGCTCAGATGAAAGGGCCTGGAGCCGGGCCCCTGGGTCTGTGCCACAGCTCAGGCCCCTGGGCCATGCCAGGGAGCCCTGCGGCCCCTAGGTGTGGGGTTTTATAGCCTTAATGATGGTGATTAGTGTGGCTCTTCATTGGTTCTGCCAACATCTAACTGTGCCCTGGCCACCTTTCCACTGAGCCCTTCCCGGTGCAGCCCTTTCATCTCCCCTCGCAGAGGGGCTCAGGGTGGCGGTGGGCAGATGGGGAGATCGTGGTGAGGGTGAGGGTGTTGGGGGGAGCATGAGATTTCATCTCAGTTCTCTGTGGAGAATCTCAGGGTCAGCTGGGTGACCCAAACCCTAGTGTGGTTTACTTTTTATAAAACAAAAGCCACACCCCCATTCCAGAGCCCCCCTGCTCTTCTCCCCTTTAGGTTGCAGCTTGCCCACAGACTGTTCCCACTTTGGGCTTCCTTTGCCAGAACATCCCTCTCCCGCAGGTGGAGGACATACTGTTGTCCAGGTTACCTTTGGTTGGGAGAGGGGGCGGGACACTGCAGAGGGATGGAGCCCACCACCTTGGAAGCCCTTTCCGCTTTGTTTTCTTCACCCCACACAGGTGAGATCTCTGTGCTTTGACATCCCTTCACCCTCCCTTGCCCCTTCTTGTCTGCTCAGCAGCATACAGACAGCCTTCAAATTCAGCACACTCTGGGTCTGCCTTGCCCTCTCTCACCACAGTCCCCCGACCCCCCAGTATCAGGCCTCGCCTATCCAGGCCTGGCAGGAGGCCCAGATGTGGCCAGGGGCTGAGATGCTTGGGCGCCAGGATAGGGGGAAGGGGACAAGGGAATGGAGGCCCCTCCTCTCGACATCCATCTCTCCCAGGAGACGAGGTGAGGGCCCAAGGCCTAGCGGGCCACTCTCTCAAAATAGCTCTCTGGCCACTCTAGCAAGATTGAGAGATCAGGGGCTGAGCCCAGGGAGGCCCGGCCCATCCCAGCCCAGTCTGCTCTGCGCTGCCAGCCTCCCCCTCATTCCTTCCAAGTCAGCCCAGCCAGTGGTTTGTTTAAACAAAACAATAGCAACCTAAGTTGGCTGTTTCTTTTCAATTCCCCACAGGCTTGGGTCCCACCCAGAGTGATAAACAGGCCTCTCTCCATCTATGTGAGTGCAGGGAAGTGGGGGGTGGAGGCTGGGGCCAGTAAGGTCAGGGAGTTAGTTTGTGCAGAGCATTGTGGAAAGTCTGATTTGCAGCCTTGATCAGGGCAGGAAGGCTCTCCTTCTCCTCCCTTTCACTCTGGGGAGTGTCTGCTCATCAACTGGGGCCGGCTTGGCAAAGACAGACGCAAACCCTTGGATTCATTGAATAAAGCCAGCGGCCCTCCTGCTTCCTTCCCAGCCGCTGCCCCTGAGCTCAGCTGAGGCAGCTGAGGGCGGAGGGCGTGAGTAGAGGGCACTGATGGCCTTTAGAGTCTTTAGGGTCTCTCTTGAGCTTGTCATAGGGACAGGCACTGGTTCTTGCTGGAAGAGCAGGGAATGGAGGCTCTAAGGAAGGTCCAGGTGGCAGAGGGGCCCCTGCAGCACGTGTGGTCAGCATGGCTGGTATTTCTTTGCATTGGGTTGAGGAATGGCTAAGTTCACTTTGGCCATAAACCTTCCCTCATTGCTCTGTCCTTGGGGGCCTAAAATTTTTACCATAGAATCAATAGCTAGGAGGGGCCTTAGGAAACCAAATTCAAAGGTTGAGAAAATTGAGGCCCCAAAGAGGTCAAACTACTAGCCCAGAGCCACACAAGCAGTGAGTGGGAGAATTCCAGAATGTTCCAGGAGGAAGGAGCCTTAGACCCTTTGACCTTCGAGACCTGCTTTCTCAAGGTCTCAGGCCTTTGACCTGCCATGCTCCTGTGCTTTCCCTATGACATCATGACAGCCCATCACTACTCTAGGAGGCATGTTTTTTGGAAAGCCATTATTAAAATACACAGATATTACCCGGAGGGCTGGGGCTGTGGTGGAGGTTGTTACCACCCCCCTCACCCCATAGGAAAACTTGAGCTTGCCTGAAACGTCTCCGTGGATGGGAGTATCACATTTAGCCTGAGATCACCTTAGAAAGCTGGAAATCTCTGGGGATAGATGAGATTCAGGGACATTTCCAGAGGGGAGAGGGGGAAATCTTTTGTTCTGGGCACTTCCCAGGGAGACTGGACTGAGGGAAGTACCCTCAGGGTGGGCAATGAGCCCAGCATTTGAGGAACGGACCTACACCTGTCAAGTCTGAGCAGAGAGGAGCTTTGGAAGGAGAGCCCGCAGGCGGCGAGGGGCTGCTGAGAGCTCCCTCACACCTTGGCTTCCTCACCTTGCCCTGCCTCTCCCGGCCTCCTCTACCTCCCCAGCCCCCGGGTATGCTGCTTCTCTTTGAGATGGGCCTGGGGCACAGACAAAACTTCCTTTCCCTTACTATAGCTAAGACAGGTTGACATTTTCAAAAGGAACTTGTCTAAAGGCTAAGATTAAAAAAAGGAAATAACCACAGAAATTACAAACAGCATGGAAATAGTCTAGTTTCTAATCCTCAAGAACAATGAAAAGCCCAGGATGAGCTGTTCAGGACATCAGGACAGGAGCACCCGAGGTATTTGGCTGGTGTGCTTGGGAGGATGTCCTGGGCCCTTCTAAGGGTCAGGGACCAGAGGGCCTTGGGAAGGTAATTCTTTTCCTTATCGGCATCCTCTGGAAATGGGGTCTGATACCCATCACCCTCCCAGCAAGGGGAGGGGAGGAGGGGGTGGAAAATTACTCAGTAGCACCCCTTAAATGCTCAGGATATAAGAATAGTCTCCCCTTTTCTTAGAAGTTGGCCCCCAATGTGTGCGTGTGCATGAGTGCATCCATGTGTATATGGGTGCACGTGTGTGCTTGTGGGGTGTGTGCATGACTGCCTGGCATAGGAATCGGCACACTTTATTCTAATTGCAGGAAAGGAGTTTGACTCTAGGACACTTTGGAGGAATTTCTGAGTTTATAGAACATGAGATTTCCTTTTCAGCTCTCTCCTACCTCAGAACCCACTGCTTCTCTGTCAAGCTAGTTGGGAACTGGCATGTGAGATGCTTAAGAAAAGTTGGGGCTCCATCAAGAGTCCTAGCAATCCCACTCTTGGACTAGGGTGTTGCAGACTGTCTTACCAGACTGTTCTGACTGTCTTATCTCAGGTCAAGTAAAAAGCACAATGCTGGAAGCTGGGAGGCTGCCCCCCCACTATTATCTTACATTTGTAACAAGTTTTTAGCACTTATTCTCCAGGGCGCTGTCTGACCGGTGGATCTCACTGCAGCCCTTGCATGGGAAGGACAGAGATCTGTCTCTCCATTTGACCAGAAAGAAACCCAGAGAAGTCCAGCTTCTCAAGGGCAGGGACTGCATCCTGCCCGTCTGTGTAGCCCTGAAGATGCTTTGCACATAGTTGGGTAGTAGGTATTGTCAATGCCCTGGCCCCTCCCCTGGCCCTTGTCAGTTGGGTGCTCACTAGCTCCTCTTCAACCTGCTTCTCCTGGCCCAGAGCTGCTGCTGGCCTCCAGAGCCTGCTTTAGCACCTTTGCAGTAGGGCAGACCTACTGGGGTGTTAACATCCCCTGGCAACAGCTGTTAATCAATGGCCGATGGGAAACGGTGCATAAATCCTCCGCTCCCTGGCTCTTGGAGGAGGAAGGAGCAGGGTATTTCATACAGGCTCCAGGTACCACAGTGGAACTTGTTTGCTCATGAACTTTGATTGAGTGCCTACTTTTTCTTGTCTTATCCACTCCCTTACTGGTGCTCCCTTGTGTCCCCTTGAAAATAAACTCCTTGCATTAGAATCCTTATCTCAAGCTCTGCTTCTGGAGGAACCCAAGCTAAGACAGTAAGGGTCCAACAGACACTTGTGGAATGAGTGGAGAGATGAGTAAAGGCTTTGTCTATGGTGTCAGAGTAGTTGACCTCATTGCCAGGACTAGAAGCCTGTACTCCTGCCTCTCTGTCCCACACTTCTGATGGCCCGCACCGCTACTGTCTAGACCTGGATCCTTCTGCCCTCCTGGGCCGGGCCACAGAGTTCCCTGAAGGAATTAGTCCCTGATACATTAAGCCCTTGGAGAACACCAAACAGATGAGCCAACTAAGATGAAAGTCACTTCTCTCTTTTGTTTCTTATCCCCAGGAGGCCACATTTCCTGAAAATCGAGGGTCCAGAAACACCCCTCCTCCTGCCTGGGGAACCCCTTAGGTAAAGGCTCTTTGAGGCCTGGCGGCCAGATTTGGGTTGTGAGGTCTGTGAGGTGGTGGGG